ATGACTACATTATGTGAGCAAAATAACTCAACAGCCCCCTCCTCCTATCAGAAAAAAGTAAGCTTGCTTGATGGCAAGCACCAATGATGCTATTAGGTTTAATGTTTCTTTTTTTTCCTGTTAGAGAAAGTCTTGCTTTATTGCTCAGGCTGGAGTTCAGTAGCCTAAATATCCTGGGCTCAGGCAATCCCCCACCTCAGCCTCCTGAGTAGCTGGGACTACAGGCACATGCCACCACACCTGGGTAACTGTTAATTTTTTTTTGCAGAGATAAGAACAAAGGAGGGCAGAGGTGAGGCCTCTCATGCAGATCCTCCTTCTCAAGTGTCATCTCATGAATCCTAGTGACATCACTAATGATAATGTTCACCACCTGACCTGTTTTATTACATTACTTGGAAACATAATGATTTAGAATATGTGAAAGATTATTTACTGGCTGATTTATGATCAGATATAAGGAGAGATAAAATAACACAAAAATGCTGATGAAGGGAAGAAACTTAACATTTTGACTTTGTTTAATCTATTAAGTTCTTAGAGAGGTAAAATAGTGTAAGCAGTTAAAATATCAAGTACACAAATTCTAAAAATAACATACAATTAGTGGCCTACATTTGTAGTTGCCAACTGAGTTGCATCTAGAAGATGGTCTCTGAAGACTCAGTGAGTGCCATGTACCCCCTTCAAATCCACAGGGAAGGCAGGGCTCATCACCCAGGAGACTTGGCTTCTGTCCACTAAAACTCAAAGGTTCTGTTTCAAGAGAAGATGAGGGCCCCAGGGTCATGGGAAGGTAGATCCCTACTGCAGTCTTCCTTGCTTGGGACAGCTTGTGGCACTTCTGGATGTGATGCCTGCAGTCCCTCCTGTGCCTCTAAGTGTCACAATGCATGCTACATGACCAAAAGCCACAGACATTTCTGCCAGCTTACAGTACACTTTAATGCCATGGATTCACTCTATGAATATTTGTTGAGCACCTGCCTGAGAAGTAAACAAAACAGACATGATCCAGGCTTTCCTCCCACTGTGCTGCAGCAGGAGGAAAAGGTCAGCCAGCAGTGCTCTGTAAAAATGAAAAAAGGATGAGTCAGTAAGCCTCGACGCTGAGGTGAGACAGTGCTCAGTGAAGACCTCTCCAACATGGTGATGTTTCAACTGTGATGCTAATAGAAAAGAGAAGCACAGAAAGCCCTCAAGTAAGAACATTCCACAAACACCAGGCCTCAGTGCAACAGTGCCAGGAGGCTGTGACCTGAGAAGAAGAAAGGCACACAAATTACCACAGTGGCTGGCACAGAGCAAGGGATCCACAGAGGGCATGTGGGAAAAGCAGAGTAATGGCAGTGGGCAGCTCACACATGCCCCTGCAGACCCGATCAGGGGCTGTGAGGTTTACTCCAAGTACAGTGGAAGCCACTACAGATGACAGTCCAGAGAATGACAGGCTCCACCTCCTACTTTCAATGAGCCTGACCTGGCTGCTCTGTGGCATGGCTCTAACTGAGCACTGGAGGGCAGTGAAAGAGGATGGGTTAGAATCTGGGCTTTGTGTTCAGGGCAGAATCAGCAGGCCTTGCTAGGCTGGATATGGGAAGGGAGAAAATCATACCTCAGGGTAATTCCTGGGCATCTGGATTGGGCAGCTGGTAGACCCTGAGAGGAGCTCATGGAGAGGGTAATGGGGACTCTGCACAGGACACATGAAGCCCGATGATGGGTCAAGCAGATAGGCAAATATAGAGGTCTGGTATGAGGAGCATCTTCAGGGCCAGGAATGACAGTCTCAAAGACACAGACAATATAATATTTTTAAGAGGTGGGCAGGGTGGGATTATCTGTAAGGAAGACACTGTAAGAAAAGAGAAAGAGGCCAAGTGAAGTGGCTCATACCTGTAATCTCAGCACTTTGGGAGGCCAAGGCAGGCAGATCACAAGGTCAGGAGTTCAAGGCCAGCCTGGCCTACATGGTGAAACCCGATCTCTACTAAAAAAAAAAAAGTAGAAAAATCAGCCAGGCATAGTGGTGGACATCTATAATCCCAGCTACACAGGAGGCTGAGGCAGGAGAATAGCTTTAACCATGGAGGCGGAGGTTGCAGTGAGCCAAGATCGTGCCACTGCACTCCAACCTGAGTGACAAGAAGAAGACTCTTTCTCAAAAAAAAAAAAAAAAAAAAAAGAGGGCTCAGGATGAAGCTGCTGGCTGGCACTCTCCAGTGTAGAGGATGAGGGCAGGGGCCTCAAGAGACTGAAAATGAGACAGAGAGGAGCCAAGGAAGAGTCCACAAGATTTGGACATTTTTATAAAAATAGCTTTAAAAAGAGTATTGGGGAGAAAAGGACAATAATCTAGAATTATGCTGAGAAGCAAAATAAAACTGGAGCAGAGAGCAACTTTGGGTGGCAAAAGATGTTGAATTAAAAATTAAAACTAAGTATTTTGAAGTGCTGATGAAGTGTTTAAGGAACAAGTTAGAAAAGACAGGTTGGCTGAGATGGCACCTTCATATGCCCATCAATGGCTACTGCCAAAGCTCTCTCTGTTACTACAGAGTGGCACCCAGGCACAGCTAAAACCCAAAGAAAAGAAGCTTCCCAATGGTGTCAATCCTCCTGCAGAAAACCTTTGACTGTACAGAAAAATTTACTCCGTAAAAAGCATATGGGGTTCCATTACCCTACTCTCTCCTCTTATGTAAGATTAAAATTTCCATAATCCATGCATATTAAAAACTGAAGGACAGTCAGGCACGGTGGCTCAAATCTGTAATCCCAGCAATTTGGGAGGTTGAGGCAGCTGACCCACCTGAGGTCAGGAGTTGGAGACCAGCCTGACCACCATGGCAAAGCCCTGTCTCTACTGAAAATATAAAATTAGCCAAATGTGGTGGTCATGCCTGTAATCACAGCTAGTCAGGAGGCTGAGGCAGGAGAATCACTTGAAACGGGGAGGTGGAGGTTGCAGTGAACTGAGATCCTGCCATTGCACTCTAGCCTGGGTGACAGAACAAGACTCCATCTAAATTTAAAAAAAAAAAGAGAAAGAGAGTCCAGGTGTAGTGGTTCATGACTGTAATCCCAAAACGTTGGGAGGAGGGGGAATCAACTCATGTCAGGAGTTTGAGGCCAGCCTGGCCAAAATGATGAAACTCCATCTCTACTAAAAATATAAAAATTAGTCAGGCATGGTGGCAGGTGCCTACAATCCCAGCTACTTGAAAGGCTGAGGCAAGACAATGACTTGAACCTGGGAGGCAAAGGGTGCAGTGAGCCAAGACTGTGCCACTCTGCACTCCAGCCTGAGCAATGACACTGAAACTCCATCACACACACAGAAAAAAACCAAGTAAGAGAAAACTGGAGCTGAGTCCTACTCATTGTATTTACTTTCCTAAGATAAAACATTATAAAAAAAAAATAACATTACCACCAGGTGTGGTGGCTCACATCTGTAATGTCAGCACTTTGGGAGGCCAAAACATGGGAATCACAAAATGAGGAGTTCCAGGCAAGCCTGGCCAACATGGTGAAATCCATCTCTACTAAAAAAAAAAAAAATACAAAAATTAGCTATACATGGTGGCATGTGCCTGTAATCCCTGCTATTCTGGAGAGTGAGGCAAGAAAATTACTTGAACCCGGAAGGTGGAGGTTGCAGTGAGCCACTGCACTCCAGCCTGGGTGACAGAGCAAGACTCCATATCAAAACAAAACAAAACAAAACAAAAACATTACTCAGTGATATACTTTAGTTAAAGGAGGAAAAAAAGACTTACCAAATTGTTTTGCAAAAAAGCTGATCCACCATCTTTCTTAACTTGGTGATTCTGTCACACCATTCTTCCTTTACTGTCAAAATCACAAAAACACAAGTTTTCTCAATGTAATGAGTTTAATAACTTGGTCTATTAAATATTATAAAGTAGGCAGTATTATTTTTTCTTTCCTGTGACTAAAATTATTTCTATGATTCCAGAATGTATTTATTACTGAAACAACACTAACACTGCACAAGCAAAAAGGAAGAACCAGACATTCATTAAAGCTGGAAAAAAGCAGAACTCAGTATGCTCAAGAGCATCTACAAGGCCGGGCACAGTGGCTCACACCTGTAATCCCAGCACCTTGAGAGGCTGAAGCGGGCAGATCACCTGAGATCAGGAGTTCAAGACCAGCCTGGCCAACATGGTGAAACCCCATCTCTACTACAAATACAAAAATTAGTTGGGCATGGTGGCAGGTGCCTATACTCCCAGCTACTTGAAAGGTGAAGCAGGAAGACTGCTTGATCCCTGAAGGTGGGAGGATGCAGTGAGCTGAGATCATGCCACTGCACTCCAGCATGGGCAACAGAGCCAAACTCCATCTCAATCAATCAATCAATCAATCAATCAATCAGAACAGCTAGCAGGTGACATTTACTATGGGGAGACTAGGGACATGGTATTGCTGGCAATCCTCCCATTTTAGTAAATCTAAACAGTGTGATTCCATTCTGTTTAGTCCCCACTCCATGCCAGAGCCAAAACTAGTGAGAAAATCAATTCTATTTCTTTGAAAACACATCTAACAATTAAGACATGATATGCATGGCTCCATACTCTAAAAGAAAACCTCCTTATGTCCTGGGTATCATGGGCATTTGATGAATGCTTGTTCAGTTGACTGGCGTAGACTTCAACAATAAACTGTTCGATGCACTATGCCAGATAAATCTTGCATCTCAGGAGTAGGACAAAGATTGTTGATTTTACTTCTGTCTACCCATTAATTTAATATCTACATGTATGTATAATGGGTTAATACAAAGAATATGAGTTGACTGTTTTAGAGAGTATTAGAATTTTGACAACATGAATTATCTTATCCTGGCAAATAATTAATAGTTAGAGACATATTATTTCCTGTGGAAGGTACCATTAAAGAAATCAATGTTAATCATTAAATAATTATTGCACATAATCTTCTCATCTGACTTAAGACTGAAAACCTACCTCCTGAAGCTGGTTTATCAAGTTGTAAATCTTCAGGTATCAAATTCATAAGTTCATATCTGAAAGGCCAGAATAAATATTTAATATTCACTAGGCAATATTTAGCAAAGTAATATCCATTAGTACATATTTAATATTTAATCACCAAGGGCGATTTTGAAAAGAAATGACAGGCTGGGCACAGTAACTCCTGCCTGTAATCCCAACCCATTGCAAAGCTGAGGCAGACAGATCACAAGGTCAAGGGTTTCAGACCAACCTGGCCAACGTGGTAAAACCCCACCTCTACTAAAAATACAAAACTTAGCTGGGTGTGATGGCAGCCACCTGGAATCACAACTACTCAGGAGGCTGAGCTGGAGAACAGCTTACACCCAAGAGGGGGAGGTTGCAGTGAGCTGAGATCATGCCACTGCACTAAAGCCTGGGTGACAGAGCAAGACTCCATCTTGGAAAAAAATTAAGAAAAGACAATCTGAATGCTTGAGCACAACTAAATCTTTAGTTGAGGTTTCTACAGAATAACAAAAAAATAATTGCAAATTGTCTCATAAGTTGCTTCATGGAGCATGTGTCCTCACAAGTAAAGTGGTAACATGGCAACACACAGCTCTTTGAAGCATGCTACAAAAATCTTAAATGGGATCCTTTAATATTGCATTGCATTCAAGGCTATCTTCCTCTACATATCTAAAAAAAAAATCATATATTCTCACATATACTTTAAAAATCTCAGGCCTAAAGGCAAGACATGGATACTATTTTCATTAGCAAAAGTAGCAGAAAATTGTAAAAGAAAATGTAAGTTGCATGCCAGTCAGGTGTGTGCAGTGTTCATGTTTCAGCAGCTAACATTGGCATGACTGACTCAAAGTTGGACCCAGATAAATTAAAAAGGGGAAGATAAAAATACATAAAATAGGCTGGGCACAGTGGCTCATGCCTGTGATCCCAGTACTTTGGAAGGTTGATGAAGGTGTATCACAAGGTCAGGATTTGGAGGCCAGCCTGGCCCATATGGAGACTCAGGCAGGAGAATTGCTTGAACCCAGGAGGCAGAGGTTGAAGTGAGCCGAGATCATGCCACTGCACTCCAGCCGAGGGGGCAAGAGTGAAAACTCTGTCTCAAAAAGAAAAAAACATTCTTTTGGGAAGTCCTTCTACATAAATATCTTCAACATGAGACTGGGAAAAAGGGGTATAGGATCATCACCAGACCTTTGGCTTTTACAGTTTGAGCTATAAGGACGAAAAGAAAAAGAGAGATCATTTAAACACAATTTGTAGAAAAGAATAATTATTGAATCTGTATTGCTCTTTAACTTTTTATTTTTCAGATGGAATCTTGCTCTGTTGCCAGGCTGGAGTGCAGCAGTGCAATCTCAGCTCACTGCCACCTCCATTTCCTAGGTTCAAGTCATTCTCCTGCCTAAGCCTCCTGAGTAGTTGAGACTACATGCAACCGCCATCATGCCCAGCTAATTTTTAGACTTTTGGTACAGAAAGAGTTTCACCATGTTCGCCAGGATGGTCTCGATCTCCTTACCTCGTGATCCACCTGCCTTGGCCTCCTAAAGTGCTGGGATTACAGGCATGAGCCATCAAGCAAGGTATTGCTCTTTAACTTTTATAATTTCATTTTTACTTATGTTATTGTAATTCAGTCCAAAGAAAAATCGTGTGAGGAAAATAAAAAGAACACCAAAAACACTAATATTCTGTTTATCAGTTTGCAGTGAAATATCCCATTACAGCCAGGCAGGGTTACTTACTCCTGTAATCCTAGGTGAATTATCTGAGGTCAGGAATTGGAGGCCAGGCTGGCCAACATGGCAAAACCACATCTCTATGAAAAATACAAAAATTAGCCAGTTGTGGTGGTGGGTGCTTGTAATCTTAGCTACTTGGAAAGCTGAGATAGGAGAATTACCTAAACCCAGCAGGCAGAGGTTGCAGTGAGCTGAGATCACCCCATTGCACTCTAGCATGGGTAACAAGAGCAAAACTCCAGCTCAAAAAGAAAAGAAAAGAAAAGATAGGTAGATCCCATTACTTTAAGGCAATGTAGATACAGCCATACTTTCTACAGAAATCCGAACCACATTATAAAGCGAGAAAAATATACCAGCTAATATTATTTAATACATATAGTACTAAATGGAAGAGGTAATATTTTCAAAACATAAACATTAGTGTAAGCTTATTGGACTTATAAAAATATACTTTTTATAACAGAAACAGAAGATTCCCTGAACTGCAACTTTTAAGTTAGCATTTATTTACTGAAGATTCAACTAACAAACAGCTATAAAAACTCAAAAGCTGGGCTGAGCATCGTGGCTCACATCTATGATCCCAGCATTTTGGGAGGCTAAGGCAGGCAAATCTGAGGTAGACGGTTCCAGACTAGCCTGGCCAACATGAAAAAATACCATCTCTAATAAAATATAAAATTAACCATGGCACATGCCTGTAATCCCAGCTACTCTGGAGGCTGAGGCAGAAGAATAGCTTGAACCTAGGAGGCAGAGGTTGCAGTGAGTAGAGATTGAGCTATTACCCTACAGCCTCGGCAACAAGAGCAAAACTCTATCTCAAAAAAAAAAAAAAAAAAAGTCAAGAGATACCCAGGTGGGGGTGGCTTACACCTGTAACCCCAGCATTGTGGGAGGCCAAGGTGGGTGGATCACCTGAGGTCAGGAGTCTGAGACTAGACTGATCAACATCATGAAACCCCATCTCTACTAAAAATAAAAAAATTAGCCAGGCATGGTGGCACTCACCTATAGTCCTAGCTACTAGGGAGGCTGAGGGAAGAGGATCAATTCAACCTGAAAAGTGGAGGTTTCAGTCAGCTGAGATCGCACCACTGCACTCCAGCCTGGGTGAAAAAGCAAGACTCTGTTTCAAAGAAAAAAAAAAAAAAGAAAGAAAAGTCAAGAGCATGGGGAGTATTAAAATCAAACATAATCAACAGTCTCGCAACAAAACAGCTCCATTTTTTGGCTATCTTTATGTGTTAAGGTTGATTTGCTAAACATTGATACTTGTACTAAAGTTTCAAGTGTGCCATATAACACATTAGTGCTTAGATTTAATATCCTTTGCTGTACACTAAACTTGAATATCATACTTTTATACTATAACAAAAGTATCTTTCCCTAAGGCAACTACCATTAATATTGCTTTAAAATTATAAAATGTGAAGATTGTTTTTGTCATTTCACTTTTTATAATTTCGCAACAGCTGAACATTATTGTCTTTAAACAAAATAATCTAATAAACCACCATCGCAACAAAACCCCCACAACATAATCCGTTTCACCTTATAAAAGCACTGACATTTGTAAAAATTGTCATAGTCAATTTATAAAAGTCAATCCATATAACTTTAATAGCAAATGATTTTTACTCAGAATAGCACTAAATTAACAATATTATAAAAACATAGGCCAGGTATAGTGGCTCAAACCTGATATTCTAGCAGTTTGGGAGGCAATGTGCATGGATCCCTTGAGGTCAGGAGTTCAAGACCAGCCTGGCCAACATGTTGAAACCCTGTCTCTATTAAAGATACACAAATTAGCTGAGCATGGTGGTGCATGCCTATAATCCCCACTACTTGGGAGGCTGAGGCAGAAGAATTGCTTGAAACCATGAGGCAAATGTTACAGTGAGCCACATCTCATGACACTGCCCTCCAGTCTGTGCAACAGAGCAAGATTCTGTCTCAAAAAACTAAATAAGTAAATAAAAACATAAGGAGAAAGCATTTATTATGTATTTATATGCCCAGTATTATGTGAAGTACTACAGTATCTTATCAAATCTTTCAGATAGATCTTCAGTTCTCATGACCACAAAAGAGCATACTAAGGCTCAGACAGGATAACAGACTTGGCCAAGCTGACCTCATGATCTGCCTGCCTTGGCCTCCCAAAGTGCTAGGATTACAGGCATGAGCCACCATGCCCGGGCAAATACCGAACTTAACAAAGCAGATAAAGAGAAACAATTAGTTGGGGGACGATACAAGATGGCCGTTTAGGAAGAGCTCAGGATTGCAGCTCCCAGTGAAAGCGCAGAGGGTGAGTGGACGCTGCGTTTTTATTGCCCACAGACTAGGAAATTCCCGGGCAGAGGAGCTCCATGGTCGCCAACCTGGCTGTTTCGGCCAGCGCGGCTGTGCCGGCCAGCACGGCTGCTGTGCCCCGCGCGGCTGCTTTGTCGGCACCCCGGAGCCGCGGTTCTCCGCACAAAATACACCGGTCCGGGTGCCCTTTTGGCTGGCGATTGGAGCCACGGGAAGTCGCCCATTCGCCGGTTCAAAAAGGGGACTGAGCAGAGAACCAGGAGAGTAGGCTCCATGGCAAAA